TTCACTGGAATATGAAAATCTGGCTGTCAAATATACAAGTGTGCAGCTATATAGCCATAGCTTCAAGTTTTATATAGATAGATATCCGTTTATTATTTTTCTTGTTTGCTGTAACAGTACAACTGTGAAGGGTAAATATTAGACTGCAGTTGCATCAATGGGGGATTAATAGAGAACCAGCAGGAAATCCCCACTGAGAATCAGGCTGTAATGTTTCTGTGAAATGGATCATTGATCATGAAGAGCAGAGAGTCTGGCTGCAGACCTGCACTCTCAGGACCCTTCATTGCAGACCTGTAAAACGGGGTCTCCTGCACTGTCAGGACCAGAAGTTTAGTGCGCATCACGTGTTTGCTTCTGGATTAGACATTATGACAGTGTTAAACTGAGCATAGGAGCAGTTTAAATTATACAGTGAGCAAAAATCATCATAGGAAAGCCAACCATCATTGTAGTTTAGAAAATGTCTTATAGACCAAATGCAGATTTTAACCATTTGTCCTGAAATCAGGATGATTTTCTTCAGTCTGATTACTTCCTGTATTAATGTGATGCAATAATTAGCTTCCAGCTTGATTGAAGCCCAAAGATTACTAATTGAAAAAAGTCCATCTAAGCAGATAAATGATGTTTCTGGTTTTTATTTATTTCCTCTTCCCTCCATTAATCTGCAGTGGTCGACCTTCTGGACAGAAGAAGGTAACGTCACCTATTGGGTCAATTTGCATTGAATTGGTTTGAAATCATCCCAATTACTCTTGATTAGTTTAAAGTTAATTGACCTCATTCCAAGTTCTTAGAGAAACTTTGGTTAAACATAAAGTTCAGATAAGCAGTGATATTATTGCATCATCTCACTGAGGTTTTCAACCATCTATTTCCTTCTTCATATTAGTTTAGGTTTACTAGTTAAGATTTTTTTGCCTGCATATGTTTGACTCTAAGCTGAATGAACTTTGTTAATACACTAATATTTGGAATGGAAGTTGCAGTGAATTTAGTCCAAACGTGCAGAATTATCTGTCTGACCAGATGGCATCTGTGCAGTGGTTCTAGCTTCTGTTTTTCCAGGGACTGGCCTTTCCTATCCCGGGCAGGGGAAAGGTGTTTGGAGCTGGGCTTAGGGTGTGGCGGTGGGGGTCCTGGGGGGGTCCCAGTCTGAGTTTATGGGGTACCCCTGGTGCCTTTTTCCCTGTC